TGTGTGTGTGTCTGTGTCTCTGTGTGTGTGTGTATCTCTGTGTGTGTGTGCGTGTGTCTCTCTCTGTGTGTGTGCGTGTGTCTCTCTCTGTGTGTGTGTGTGTGTGTGTGTGTTTTGTCTGTGTGTGTGTGTCTGTGTCTGTCCGTGTGTCTCTCTCTCTGTGTGTGTGTGTGTGTGTGTCTGTGTGTAAATTGTAAATCAGTGTGGTGAAATACACAAACAGAAGCTGAAGTATTGAGCAGGTCTGAGATCAGCTGTTTTCAGGGAGAGTCAGAATCATATAATGGGATAATTTAATCAAATAAAGAAACAGATGATCGTCTCTGTTGCAGTTTTAATCAAACAGCAGATGAAGTTGTTGGAGGGTCAGATCATCTCAAATGTTCCAAAACCTGTTCAGCTGGTTGTTCATTTTCCTCATGTTTTTGAGTGATCATATCTGTGCATGAGTATTGCAAAACTACCAGTTTTATTATCTTATTTGGTTTAACCACTGAGGCCATGTTTGTGTCATGAGGCACAACACATTTTATGTTATACGGATGGTTCATGGAAATCTAAATATCTCTGGCTCTCATTTTGGACACATTTTTCTCACTGGATTGACACTGCCTGTGCTTTGTCTCATGAATCAGTGTGCGATTACTTTAAATAAGTGAAATTACAGCATTGTTTGGAAAAATCTTTGATGTCTTCTGTAACCATCTGGACAGTCTTTGGAAATCACAATCATTGTTCCTGTGGTGGTAACGAGACAGGTGCACTGTGGGAATAATATCTTCAAATACAAATAGGGCTGAATATTGAATGCTGTTTTTGGCTCTGTTTGTCCTGACAAAATGTGTTTTAACTCAGATCACAGCAGCAAACACACAATTACATATTAAGTCACAAACAAACCATACACTCCCTCCTCAGAGAATCAGACATCAGGTTTCATGTGGTCTGTCTCTCAGATACACGAGCAAACAGGCTTCAGATGTGGTCAGTATTGTGTGTGTGATGAACCAATGTTTTGTTCCTCAAATAGATCAGGATCCCCACAGTCTAAATGTGTGTTTGCATAAACAACAACTGCAGCAGAGCAAAAGCACACAATCACACAAGAGCACAGAAATACAAGATCAGAGCGACTGGAACCTGTTGAGTGAGAATGAAACCCTCAGGGTAAAAAAACATTCTCACACACACACACACACACACACACACACACACACACACACACACACACACACACGCCCTCTCACACACACACGCACTCACACACACACACACACACACATTTGCAGTGGTTTCCATATTAATTTAAAGGGACAGTTCACCCAGAAATTTTAATTCTCTCATCATTTACTCATCTTTCTTCTGTGGAATGCAAAAGAAGATCATTTGAGAAATGTTTTTTTGTCCATGTAATGAAAGTCAAAGTTCCCAACATTATCCAAAATACTTTCTTTTGTGTTACACAGCAGTAAGAAAGTAATACCGGTGTGGAATGAGGTGAGGGGGAGTAAATGTCTCTTTTATTGATAAACTGAGTCTCATACAAATGATTGTCACAATATAAAAACAGGAAACGTACTTCCTACAAACTGAAAAAGGTTTCCTCCTGAAATACATATTCGCATGAAGCACGCATCATTCAGATTCAGTAGTGCATTGTTTTCTTCATTTATGTGCATCTATGTAACACACGCCTGTAGCGCTGCTGCTGATCTATCCATCATCGGTCGCTCAGCGGCGCGCGGACACACACGGCCGCTGGAGCACGGAGAATATCCCGGAAATATTATATTTCGCAGATCATTATCATTTTTCTCGGCTTGGCAGTTCCAGTCGATGTCGTATTTACTGTCGTGCGCGCTGAGGTGACTGACGCACCCCTCCTGCGAGAGATGGTTCAGCCTCCTCTGATCACGCGACAGCACCGGAGAATCTGAGGTGTTTTCACCGGATCGCGCTGAGAGCGGGCTGCAGCGGCGGCTCCGGGGGTCTGACCGAGGACGCGTGCTCCGCGGTGAAGCGTGACACAGACCGGCGCTTGTGTTTCTGACACGGTCTTACAGCGGCATCACAATTCAGCGGTCCTCGATGCGTCTCTGCGCCAGCGGATTATCAACTGTCATCGCGACAGCACCGGAGAATCTGAGGTGTTTTCACCGGATCGCGCTGAGAGCGGGCTGCAGCGGCGGCTCCGGGGGTCTGACCGAGGACGCGTGCTCCGCGGTGAAGCGTGACACAGACCGGCGCTTGTGTTTCTGACACGGTCTTACAGCGGCATCACAATTCAGCGGTCCTCGATGCGTCTCTGCGCCAGCGGATTATCATTCATTTGTCTGATGCTTTCATGAGAAACAGCCGCAGCGTCTGATGGTGATTACGCTTCTCTTGTCTTTATGTGATCTTTAAATACATTAAACTGTTGTAATTTTGATTTTAAATGGATTTACATACTTAAGAACAGAACGACTGTAAGTGGTTGGAATACAAATCTTGTTCTATTTCTCTCTGACCCGAAGGTGAGCCGCGAGTGTCCAGAGCTGTCAGGATCCGGAGAGTAACGTTAAACCGGCCGCAGATGAAGGAGGCGTGTCGCATCTGCGCACGCGAGCTGCGCGGAAACCAGCGGCGATGGATCTTTCATCCGGCCGCCAAACTCGACCTGCAGGTGCTGCTGTCTCACGCGCTGCGCCGCGGTCTGCAGCGGGACGGACGCGGCGAGTTCATCTGCAGCAAGTGCTGCTTCATGCTGGACCGCATGTTCCGCTTCGACACGGTGATCGCGCGCGTGCAGGCGCTGTCCCTCGAGCGGCTGCGCAGACTCCTGCAGGAGAGAGAGCGGCTGCGCCAGTGCATCACTGCGCTTTATAACAAAAACAACGGGCTGGAGTCATCGGGGGCGACGGAGGCGGTGCACGGCGAGTACTGTGCGCTGCTGCAGGAGGACCTGATGTACTGCATGCAGGAGTCCTGGGCAGGAGACGAGGAGGAGGCACTGGAGTGCGCCCACAATCCTCGGTGCAGCCGGTGCAGGGACTGCAGGGCGCTGCGTGTGCCCGACTCGCACTACGAGGCCGTGTGTAAGGTGCCCAGGAAGGTGGCAAGGAGCATCTCCTGTGGGCTGTCGTCGCGTTACGTGGCCAGCGGCGCTGACGAGCAGACCACGACCTCAAACACACTCCTGCCCGAGACGAGCCTGTCAGACAGTCAGCGCACACTCCGAGACTGCGAGAGCTGCGCCGTCTCGCTGCAATCGCTGGACAAGAGTCACAGAGCGTCTGAGGAGCGTCTCGGAGCGTCTGAGGAGCGTCTCGCTGTATCTGAGGAGCGTCTCGGAGCGTCTGAGGAGCGTCTCGCTGTATCTGAGGAGCGTCTCGGAGCGTCTGAGGAGCGTCTCGCTGCTTCTGAGGAGCGTCTCGGACCGTCTTGGAGTGTCTGAGGAGCGTCTCGCTGCTTCTGAGGAGCGTCTCGCTGCTTCTGAGGAGCGTCTCGGTGTGTCTGAGGAGCGTCTCAGTGTGTCTGAGGAGCGTCTCGGTGTGTCTGAGAAGCGTCTCGGTGTGTCTGAGGAGCGTCTCGCTGATTCTGAGGAGCGTCTCGCTGATTCTGAGGAGCGTCTTGGTGTGTCTGAGGAGCGTCTCGCTGTGTCTGAGGAGCGGCTCGGGGCGT